ATTAGATATATATTTTTATTTTAAATGTATTGAGTTTCCTGTAATTTCTGCTAAGTATAAATTAAGTTCCTTATAATCTTTGTCAAAATAAATTAAGTTCTTTGTAATATTTATTTTAAATTAATACTCAATGTATCAACATAAATATATTTACTTAGAATTTATTTGAATTACATTGACTTTTTACATTTTTTATGATTAATATATAATTATTAAAATTTATTAAAAGTAAATAAAAGATTAATTAGATTTAATTCTTTTCAAACTACTTAATGATCATAAAATCTTAAAAATGAAAAATTATTTTACATATGCATTATATTTATATGAATAATTTTTTAAAACTAATTTGTCTCTAAACTAATAATAATATAAAATATATTATAATTTTTAAATATATATTTCTTTATATTTTAATATTATTTTTAATTATTTTATTAAAATTAATTCAATAAAAACATAAACAAACTTGTGCAATTGCATATGCATATTTCATAAATTACTTAACATATTTTTTAAAATTTATCATGACTAGTAATTGTATTATTTGTCAAATAATATAAAATATATTTTTAAAAATTAATAACGTATAATTATTTATTTTAAATTAATTTATTTTTAAAATAATAAAAAATATATTATATTTTTTATAATACAAAGTATTTCATATTTCAAATATAATTTTTAAAATTATTTTTACACAAAATAATTTAATATAAAAGATAAACAACCCTGTAAATCTGACAATTATGTTTACTAGTATATTGAGTTTCTTATAATCAATAATATATATTTATTGAGTTCATAAATTGAGTTTTTTTTATTTTTATTAGATATAAATTAAATTTTTTGTGATCTTCACCGAATATTAATTGAGTTTCTTGTAATCTCCGCCTAATATATATCGAGTTCCTTGTGATATCCGTTCAATATATATCAAGTTCCTAGTGATATCCGCCAAGTATATATTAAGTTTCTTATAATTTTTGTCTTGTATCTATTTAAATTTTTGAAATCTCGATCAAGTATTAATTGAGTTTCTTAAAATTTGTGTAAAATATATATTGAATTCTTTGTAATCTCCGTCAAATATAAATTAAATTTATTGTAAATCTTTGTAATTTTTATCATATTTTTTTATTTTAAATTTATCAAGTTCCTTGTAATCTCTGCTAAGTATGAATTAAATTCCTCGTAATTTTCACCAAATATAAATTGAGTTTTTTTTTATATTTTTGTTAGGTATAAATTAAATTTTTTGTGATCTTCGCCGAATATTAATTGAGTTTCTTGTAATCTCCGCCTAATATATATCGAGTTCCTTGTGATATCCGTTCAATATATATCAAGTTCCTAGTGATATCCGCCAAGTATATATTAAGTTTCTTATAATTTTTGTCTTGTATCTATTTAAATTTTTGAAATCTCGATCAAGTATTAATTGAGTTTCTTAAAATTTGTGTAAAATATATATTGAATTCTTTGTAATCTCCGTCAAATATAAATTAAATTTATTGTAAATCTTTGTAATTTTTATCATATTTTTTTATTTTAAATTTATCAAGTTCCTTGTAATCTCTGCTAAGTATGAATTAAATTCCTCGTAATTTTCACCAAATATAAATTGAGTTTTTTTTTATATTTTTGTTAGGTATAAATTAAATTTTTTGTGATCTTCGCCGAATATTAATTGAGTTTCTTGTAATCTCCGCCTAATATATATCGAGTTCCTTGTGATATCCGTTCAATATATATCAAGTTCCTAGTGATATCCGCCAAGTATATATTAAGTTTCTTATAATTTTTGTCTTGTATCTATTTAAATTTTTGAAATCTCGATCAAGTATTAATTGAGTTTCTTAAAATTTGTGTAAAATATATATTGAATTCTTTGTAATCTCCGTCAAATATAAATTAAATTTATTGTAAATCTTTGTAATTTTTATCATATTTTTTTATTTTAAATTTATCAAGTTCCTTGTAATCTCTGCTAAGTATGAATTAAATTCCTCGTAATTTTCACCAAATATAAATTGAGTTTTTTTTTATATTTTTGTTAGGTATAAATTAAATTTTTTGTGATCTTCGCCGAATATTAATTGAGTTTCTTGTAATCTCCGCCTAATATATATCGAGTTCCTTGTGATATCCGTTCAATATATATCAAGTTCCTAGTGATATCCGCCAAGTATATATTAAGTTTCTTATAATTTTTGTCTTGTATCTATTTAAATTTTTGAAATCTCGATCAAGTATTAATTGAGTTTCTTAAAATTTGTGTAAAATATATATTGAATTCTTTGTAATCTCCGTCAAATATAAATTAAATTTATTGTAAATCTTTGTAATTTTTATCATATTTTTTTATTTTAAATTTATCAAGTTCCTTGTAATCTCTGCTAAGTATGAATTAAATTCCTCGTAATTTTCACCAAATATAAATTGAGTTTTTTTTTTATATTTTTGTTAGGTATAAATTAAATTTTTTGTGATCTTCGCCGAATATTAATTGAGTTTCTTGTAATCTCCGCCTAATATATATCGAGTTCCTTGTGATATCCGTTCAATATATATCAAGTTCCTAGTGATATCCGCCAAGTATATATTAAGTTTCTTATAATTTTTGTCTTGTATCTATTTAAATTTTTGAAATCTCGATCAAGTATTAATTGAGTTTCTTAAAATTTGTGTAAAATATATATTGAATTCTTTGTAATCTCCGTCAAATATAAATTAAATTTATTGTAAATCTTTGTAATTTTTATCAGATTTTTTTATTTTAAATTTATCAAGTTCCTCATAATCTCCACTAAGTATGATTTAAATTCCTTGTAATTTTTGTCAAATATAAATTGAGTTATTTGTAATCTCCGTCAAATATAAATTGAGTTCTTTGTAATCTCCGTCAAACATTTTTTTATTTTAAATTAATGCTCAACGTATTAAAATAGATATATTTACTTAAAATTTATTCTAATTAGATTGTATTTTTACAATTTTTTTTAAATTATATTTCTCAAAATATCTATTAATTACAATGAATTCTTAAAAATATTATTTACTGAGTTTATCGATATCTCCGTCACAACTAGTATAAAAAGCTTACTTGGTTGCTTTCCAAAATACTCACACATACACTTCTAGAGTCTTGAGAGTTGAGATAGAGTTAGAGTATGATCTTGGAAAGTGAGAACAAGCTAAAAGCTGTGAGTAAATCTCAAGAGCTATAAAGGGTTGGAGTGCTTAGCTAGCTACAATAGCAGAGGTACATGCTTTTTTATCAATGTCCTCATCATTTTTTTTTCTTGAATTTACTTATTGTGATTTTGTTCAATATCCTATGTTTTATCTTCTAGTCAACTTCTATGACAAGATGAACTCATGAATTGCAATGTTCTTATTTGTTTCCCTTATTTTATATATGGAACTTGTAAAAGCTTTTCTTCATCTTATTGCATATTGATTGTAACATTTTGTTTCCACTCTAACACTATTTTGATATTATTTCAACTATATGTACATCTTAATTAAATATATTTTTATGTTACTATATATATAAAATAGAAAAGTATGGTGTGAATCACACTGTCATAAACAAAATCATTTATTTATCTCCCTTTAAAGTATAGAAGAAATATCCCCAATAACCGACAGGCACAGCTGAAATCAATAGCCAAAAACATGACTTTCTAAGACCTCTTCAAACATCAAAGCCAGGTCACCCTTAATAAGATTCCCCTTCCCCATATTAAACTAGTTTGACAAATTGACAACAACTTGCATCACCCATTTTACATCATACAAGGACCACTAAACAACCACCTTCATGTATCACCCAGCCCCAATTAAATACTTGCCGAAATAATACTAAATCCATGAACATGGATATTTTCTTTTCCCACATTAAATGTAGATATTAATTTATTTGCATAATTGAAATAAGGAAAACGCAGAATAGAATATAGTTGACCAGCTCATCTTTCCTAGGAATAAAAAAGGTTTGAACATCGTGCCAACTAGGCAGCTATTAAGAAGCTGGGAAGGTTTCTAATTAAACTTCATTTACACAGTCGACAAGCAATCACACGTGATACACTCCCACTTGTGCATTCCAAAATTTGTGATTCATTTTTAAAGTCTTTTTACTCTATTAATTTTTATATATAATTTTTGTACTCTATTAAGAATATAGATATGATCAGTATAGGTTTAAAGAAAAAATCAAACATATAAAATCTTAAGCTTTAAATATCTCATGCTTAATAAATTGGGTATCATTTGGCGTCATCCTTGCCGCCACGTTGATAATGATGTGGAACTTTCAAACTTCGACACAGTCAACAAGACAACAACTGTCTAAGTGAACATAATTTTTCTTTTTCTTTATTTTTTTTTTTCTAGAATCACTGTCGTGGCTCATAAAAATCTTTTTTTATTAAAAAGGAATTATCATATATATATATATATATGTTATAATTTTTTATAATATGTATATATATTATAAAAAATCGATACAATAAAAGTTTGGTAACAAATTAATCAATTTTTTATTATAAAAATTGAATTTTAATGAATTTTCTTCTATACGTGACAGATGTTGGGGGGCAGATTCGGACGTCCAACGTGGATCATTCAAAGGGAAGGCTCTGATCCAGTGCATCGCAAGCCAAGAACTAGAATGAAGCCTCCTTACGAGCACCGCACAATCAAAATCAAACGCTTAGGATCGAACGGCTGTGCGACAGCAATCAAGGAAATCCCAAAGATGCAACAACAAAACTCAAGTGCTCACAAAGATGCAACAACAAAACTCACGTCCCTCAATTAAGGTCGTGAGTATAATATTAAAACTAATATATATATATTTATATATATATACAAAATATATAAAATTAAAAACTAAAACTATATATATTTTTTAAAAATTGAAACTATTACAATCTGAGATGTTGCCAGCGGTTTTGCGGGGCGGAGAACTGAACCAGTTGAAGATCCGGAACTCAACCGGGTTTGACCCGGTTGTTCTCAGAGGATTCACATTCAGCCCCGGGAACGTTATTCGGATCCAACCCATCCCTCTTGGTTTTGTTACCGTAGAAATGGGTTAATCCCAAGAGAACGGCGTCCGACATGGCTGTCGTGTTGGGTATCAAAACATCGTCGTCGTTTTCGGAGGACGAGTCGGGTTCTGTTTCCGGGTCTGGGCGGTCTGGGCATTCGGGATCACCGGCGGCGGCACTAGCCTCCTCTCTTTGCAGTGAACCGGAACTTAATGGCATGGGAGAATGCGCTGAACTTGATGAACTTTGGCTTCCTTTTATCCATTGTAACCCGGTTTCACGTGTTGCGGGTAAACGGGTCGTGGAGTGTTTGTTCCGGGTACTACCGGCGAGGGAGTTCCTGTGAGCAGGTTTGGCGTGCTTGTGGTCGCCGGTGTATGTGACGATGTACATGTGCGGTTCCGTTGTGCTCTGCTCAACTTGCTTTCTCGCGGCACATCCTTTGCAGCTACTGCATCTGTAATAGTTCCTATAAAACATAGATTTACTTAAAGTGCTGATTTTCACATGCAAAGCGTGAAGATGAAAAATTATATATATATATGTTATAGATATAGGTGAAAGTGATGAAAGAATGTTTTACTTATGTATTAAAGTACCTTGGATATGGAGAACCTTTGATGGGTTTTTGTCCATATTTTCGCCATGCCCACAAGTCTGCTGAGATGTTATCTGCGGTTACATGGCACACCATTTTCTTCTGTTGGCTTTTTCTGTAGTGTGGAAGAAAAAGAAAAGAAATTGATGTAAAATGTAGTATTTTTATGTAGTCGGAGTTTATGAATGTAAAGAAGTTTCCGTTTTAATTTAATGTAATGAGATTGATTGAAGTGTGTTAATGGAAGTTAAATTGAAAAGATTTACCTTTTTCTTGATCTGGGTGTTTGTGGTTGTGTATTTGGTAAAAGCATGGGACTTATTTGGGGTACTTGTAGGGGTGGTTGATTTTGATGCTGTTGTTGTTGTTCTGGGGTTTGGGGTTGCTGTTGTTGTTGTTGTTGTTGTTTTGGGTTGTGATGGAATCTATCAAAGCTTGTAGTGGAGGGTGCTCCAATGGAGGTGTAAGTTGTGGGAGTAGGAACAACAAGATGGTGGTGACCTTGCTGTATCTGCTGTTGTCCAATGAATCCTGCAACGTCACAAAAAGTGGAATTGGGATTGATGCCAAGGCCACTAGTGCTAGTGCTAGTGAAGGTGGTGGTGGTGGTGGTGGTGGGGTTGAAGTTCATTAACAATTGTTGAAGCTCTTGGAACTCATTGGTTCTTGGTTGCACAAGATTGGGAAAAGAGAATGAGCCATTTTCTTGGGTAACAGTGAAAGCGTCCAAGCAAGTGTTGTCTTGAGATGATCTAGTATTGGAGATAACAGTAGTATTGGTGGTTGTGGTGGTGGGTGGGGTTTCTGTGTTTGTGGTAGCAGTAAAGGTGGCAGCTTTGCAACTTCTCACGATGGCAAACAGATCCCAATCCTCATTAGCCATTTGAGAGAAAGATTAGTATGTGGGTATGCCTTGAAATCCTCACAAAACCAGTGTTGTTTGGTGCTTATGTTTTGCCCAATGGAACCAATTACGCAAAGGCAAAGACTCGGACAAAGGGTGAAATTAGAGGCACAAAGGACGGCGCTGACTTTTTGGGAAAAGGAAAAAAAACTTGTTTAGAGAGAGAGAGAGAGAGAAAAGAGAAAAGAGAGAGCAAACAATGTGGTGGTGGAGCACTGACCCATTTGGGCAATTCTTAATTATTTATACTAAGAAAATGGGAAAAAAGGATAGAGATTCATCAAAATGGTATGAAAGTGAAAGTCTTTTTGTTTTGTTTTCAAATTTTATTTTTAAATTTCGTCTTGGGTTTCGGAGTTTATTGAGGGATTTTTCTAGCACTAAAAAGACAAATGAAATTGAGTTTCCTTTTTCATTGACTTTGGTATAATGTCAAAGGGGGACCCAACAACAGGTATAGAGAAAGCAGCAACGTAAGGACGATGATTCCGATGCTTCCAAAGATGCCCACGCTTGTTGGCTGTACATTACTCGAGTTCTTATTGGCGAGTGCGCGTAATCGAGGAACCGTAGCAGTGGGGCGCGTTGAAATTTCTCCCCCAATGAAAAAACACTACACTGTCACTGTGTCATGCTTCTGCATGGCTTGCCCTTACAATCTGGGCCACATTCTGCCCTTGTCCTGCGTTTCAGTTTTAACTTATGGATACAAAATTTAAGAGTAATGATTTTTCTAACTTTCTTTTATCTAATTACTTAATATGAATATTAATTTTGTTATAATACTTTTAATTTTTTACCTTATATGTTTATAAATTCTTCTCATTATTAAATAAAAATTATTTTATTTTATATTTTTAAGACAATAAATCATAAATATATTAATTTTTTTATTTTGTGTTTATTTTATAAAATGATAGAGAATTGTGTTACTACTTCTTTTTGTTATTTATCTATTTTAAAAAATAAAAACAATCGTTCTTAAATATTTTATGTAGAAGACTAATATAATATTAATTATTATCATTTATTAAATATTTATTAACTAGATTCTTAATGACATTAATTAAATAATTAAAATTAAATTTCTATTAAAAATATATAAATATACTTCATTTTTAATTACATATTTTTTTAATTCTTAATCAGTATCTTTATGACACTAGTTAATAATTAACTAAAAATATTAAATTTATTAATTTATGTTATTTTTTACTAAATAAATAAATAAATATTAAAAAATTAAAAGATATGTTTCTAAAATTACTATTAATATATTTGAAAATATTATAATATAATTTTAAATATATTTGTATTATTTCATCAATACTCCTAAGTTACTATTTAACAAGATGTATTAGTTGTACATCAAATTATCTAAATACAAAAATGATTATTAGTTTCACCTAAAGACAATGATGACTTGTGAAGTAGAGGATGCAGTTTGAATTCATAATTTATTATTTTCTTTTATTAATTACATAGTTGACAATTAATAATGATACTTTATATGTAACACGGACTTAATCAATTTATTTAAAATAAAAAGATGTTTAGAATAAAAAATCATTTATTGTCAATTTAAAATAAAATATTAACCTAAACTATATATTGCAATAAAAGGTCAATAATTTAGCAACTTTATTTTATCTGATTATTTATAAATATATAAATTTCATTATAGAGTTTTACATCAAAGTAAAGCCTCCCTGAAATAATGTTAATAATACTTGATTCATGATTTCACATAAAAAATAATGCACTTTTTTTTTTCTCGTTTGTTATTAAATATATTTTGCACATAATCTAGGTTTTAATTATACTATTCATAATTACAAAGAGTATTATATAATATTCATACATTTGCCCATTTAAAGACATATTTAATATTTACAATTTCTATTTATATAATAAAATTGGTAAGCATTTTCTCTCTATTTAGTCAAATGTCATCCGCAATCTGTGATACATGTTAATATGAGCATATTTATATATAAAATTAAATTAATATTTTTTATTTAATCAGCCATTCACGTATTATTGCTTATTTATTCATTTATTGAAAATGAACAAATGTGTAAAATGAAAAGTAAAAATTTATTCATAATTAATAATAAATTAATTAAATACTTCAGATTAATTAAATTTAGGTATATAAAATCTCAGTTTCTTATTTTAAAAGTTTGATCTATACACGCGCTCACACATGTACAAGCATAGGAGCACACACATTTTTACATATTAATTTTAATTATTAATGTTTTCTTATTATTAATTATTTAATTAATGAAAATTTTTACTTTCCTTATTATCTAAATCAATACTGAATTTCTTCAACATTAAATAGTCCTAAAAAATAATATCAAATTAATCAAACAATTTTTTAAAAAAAAGTGTAAATTATGTTATTATATAGTATGTATCACGAATATTAACCACTAAACGTCTTTTAGCGTAATAGTACCATATAGTATGAGTTATTTCATCATTTTCTTTTGCTAATTATTATTTTTAATTTATAAGAATAAATTAAGTTACACGCGCTAAATGGGAGCGTGGTGTCCATTGTGTGACTGACATAAAATTCATAGCATACGGATATCGAAATGCGCGTCGTTTTTCTTTGGGCCCACAAAAGCCCTCTTGTTCTATGCCGCACCATAACATTCCTCTCATTAATCGTAACCGTTAATCCTTCACGTGTTATCTCATGCGAGACATTCGTGGGTCCAAAAAAAAAAAAGGATTAACAGAACAATAAAACTAAAATTTTAAAAATATAATAAATATTTTTAAAAATTATTATCTTTTAAATTTTAAATTTAATTCAAAAAATTGAGATTAATAAAATAAAATTTATAAAATAAAATTTATAAAATAAAAAAATTTTAAATCATGTTAAAATTATAATAAAATTTATTAACAACACTTTGTTAATATTTTTATTTTTTTGAACTTGGATTAACATTTGTCATTTACTTTTACTTTGCTCTTCTGTGAGCCGTTGGTTGCAGAAAACGACAGACTGACGGCTCTTGATCTGGAACTTTGTGATTCTGTCAATTTTTTTTTATTTAATAAAAAACAAGTTTTGATATTTCATTTTAACATTCCTGAAGGATTCACTCTCGTTAATATATTTTATTAATTAAAAAATTAAAATATAAATATGAAAATCATCCGATAATTATTTATTTTTAATAATGTTAATTATTATAAAAATATTTAAAAGTATATTATAACAATTTTTAAAAAGAATCTTTGCGTCCTCAGTAGTGCTGGTCACCTTGTTCAGAAAATTTCAAATTAATTATAAAATATTTTAAGTTAATGAAAAAGTAATATTTAGTATTTAATTATAATTTAATGTTGGCTGTCCTACAGAGAGTTGTGATAATATTTTATTAATTATATTAATTGCCACAGAAAAGGAAATTAATTAATTTATTCTCACATTGGTCTAGCTATCACTTGTCATAAGTTTTCATCGTGATGATAAAAAACTATTTAATGCTATTTTCAAATGATTATTTAATAATTTTTCGTACTGTTAACAAGTTTACATTTTTTAACTAAAAAATAACCAAAATTAAACTTAAAAAATTGCCAACACGACGTGATTATTTAATTTGATGCATCCAAATAACTTTGTGCATCCTGACCTTTTCAAATATCATATGTGCAATGATTAATTTTTTGATTAAATTGAACATTTTTATTTACAATATTTTATAGTTAAGAAATTAGATTATTTTAAAACATTTTGATTTTATTTAAGTTATGTACTTTACTTTTATCAATATTCCTTTTTTATTTGTTTTTTAATTAAAATTATAAAAACATTATTATTTTACTAATTTATCAAGTATATGCATCACGAGAGACCATGTTGAAAATAATTAAAATATAAATAATAAGTTTGGATATGAATATAATAAATACTCAATAAGTAGGATTGTGAATTTTAAAATAGCGGAAAATATGAATATGAATTTAGGTTTAATCTTTTAAAATTAAAAATAAATAGCATAACTAAACTCTTCTCATATTTGTAATAAAATAAAAATAAAATCTTCTTCCTTTTCAAAGAAATTCCATAAATAAACGTTACCATATAAAAATGGTTAATTAATTGTATTTTTTAAACAACAACAATAATATAACACACACATATATAAGAGAGAGAGAGAGCATGTTAAGTAAGGAAAAAAATTAATTTAAAAAATTAAAAGCAATTAATATTTTTAACTGATTAAGATGATTAAAAATGATAATTAATATCGGTTTTATTGATCGATATTCAGAAGTATATTTTTTAGTTCCAATAAATTTGAGTCAAAACAGATCCACTTAATTAATAAGACACATCTCTCCAATCTTTTTCTTCCCGTTAATATAAGACCTCACTTAAAAATAAATAAATAAAACATCTTCCTTTTGGGACAAACGTGCTTAACATGTATTTGATGGCTGGCAAAATAATAATAATAATATTAATCTACAAATGCACAGAAAATTTCTTCAAGTTTATATTATCTTTCCATGGCTCTTCATTGTAAATTACAGACGCTAATAATATTTATATATAGAGTGCAAAATTGTATATTATAGTGTCAACGACCTTGTTTAATGATATTTTTAAAAGCTAAATGAATTAACAAGAGTATATATATAGAGAGAGAGTACTCTAATAATATGTATACAATAATAGTAATCTAAGTTTATGTTTAAAAGTTAATTTACTTAAAAGTCAATTTTTTAAGAAATTTTAACCAATTTTTATATTTTTTAAGTTTATGAGGAGATTGTTTATTTTTTTTTTAAATTGGGGTTTTAGTTACTTTGATCTATTAAGGTTCCATTAACTTAATTACAAATTTTGAAATAATTTTATGGAAATTATTGAATAATTAAGTTAGAAAGTTAGTTCCTAAATATATTACTTAGAAAAATTTATAATTATACCCTTGTTCTTAACA